ATTTTAGTTATTTCTTGTTGTTCTGTCCTTCATTGAAAGTGATATGAAAATCTCCAGCTTTTATTATGGAATTGCTATTCCCCTTTTCGGAGTCCTGGTGTGGCACTGTGAGTTAATGTGCTGGACTGCAAAGTTGGTTTGAACCTAAAGTTGGCGGTTCCAGCTCACCAGCTACTCCTCAGAAACCCTATCCAGGGTTGCTATGGGTCAGAACCAACTTGACAGCACTTAACAGCATCAGTTCCCTTTTTCAATTCTGTTAGTTTCTTTCATGTATTTGGAGCGCTTTCTTTTCACGCATAGGTACTTATTATTATATAGTCTTATTGGATTGACCCTTAATTATTATATTTTGCCCTTCTTTGTCTATTGTGCTGGGTTTTGCCTTAAAGTCAGTGTTAACAGAGATTAATATTGCCATTCCTGCTCTTTTTTTTTGGTTGTTGTTTGCTTGATAGTTTTTTCCACTCTTTGATTTTTAGCTTATTTTTTATATTTATGTGTAAGATATGTCTCTTGTAGGCAGTATATTTGTGAGTCAGGCTTTCTTATCCATTCTGCCACTGTCTGTCTCTTGTGTACTCAATCCATTTATATTTGGTGTAATTACAATAAGTGTGAATTACAGTTGTCATTTTGTTGTACCCTTTATTATTATTATTATTGTGTGTGGTGCTGAAAAATTTTTTTGTTCCGTGTCCTTTTCTGTGTGGTGCTTTTTGTTTATGGATTTTCTTTTCATTTTCTGTGTTGCTGTTGATTTTGCGTTTACTTAGTCTTTATGGTTTTCTTACCTATTTTGGTGAGAATGTTTATTTTCTTTGTGGTTACCCAGAAATGTGCTTTTGTTTTCGTAACTTCTTTTTCCTATGGAAGTGCTGTAACTACAACATTTCTTCCCTATTTGTTTGAAAGTTGTTATCATTTGTGTCTCTGGTTACCTCTTTTCAGTCTTACAGCTTTATTTTGAAAATTCTTTCTGGGTTAGTTTCTGGGTGATATTGTTTTAATCTTAGCATGTTGTCTGACATCAGTGATTCACTGTCCAAGGTACACTCTTTAGTATTTCATGTAAAGTTGGTCTGATGTATACACATTTCCTTAATTTTTATTTATTTAGAAATGTCCTAATTTCATCATTGTATTGAGGGATCGTTTTGGTGGGTATATAATTTTTGGTAATTTTCTTGTTCTTTCAGGGTTTTATATATAAGGGGGTTTCAAACAGTTTGTGGAAGATGGTTTCTGCTTTCATGGTCTGTGCCAAGACATCAGAACTTACACTGATGAAATGTTGGCCTTTGTAGGTTATATTCCATTTTTACAAAGCTCCTCTCAGGATTTTTTCTTTGTCTTTGGAAAGTCTGATTATGATACATCCTGGTGAAGTGCTTTTAGAGTCTATCCTATTTGGGGTGCTTAGATGGTTATCGTTTTATGTTACATAATACTAGGGAAGTTTACTGCCAGAAAAAATGCAAAAAATTCCTCTGCTTTTTTTTGTCTCTCCCTGTTTTGGAATTTTGACCAGGTGTGAATTTTTTTTTGACCAGGTGTAAATGCTCTAAATGCCATCCCACATAATTTGGAGACCTACATTTTTCTTTGTTCTTTTTGTCTGTTTGTCCCTCTGACAGATTGGTATCAAGGACGTCCTCTGTTTTGCTGATTCTGACTTCCATTGATTCAATTCTACTTTTGTCTGTTTCTGAAATTTTAGTGTTAATATTCTGGATTCCTAGTTTCTGTTTTTGTATGGTTTATAATTGTCTGTTTATTTTGTTATCTTGTTATTTCATTGTTTTCCTAAATGCTTCTAGAGTTTTGTCTGTGCGTTCCTTGATTTTGTATGTTTTTTTATTATTCTCTTTCTTGATCTTTTGGAGGGCCTTATATTTAAGCCGTTAGAATTTCTTGTCAGTTAGATCTATTCCTGTTCTTACTTAGAGAGGTTTTTGGTTCTTTGTTTTGGTCACTTGTTCGTGTCATCTTCTCCTGCTTCTTTCGGTGATTTGATATTGTCTGTTGTTTCTGAAGTATTAAGAGGTCTTGGTGTGGAACTGTAGGATAAGTTCTAAATTGCTAACCACAAAGTAGACAATTCTAAAGCACCAGTCACTCCTTAGGAACTCTGTGCAGGGCCGCTGTGAGTCAGAACTGAGTTAATGGCTCTAACAACAACAAACAACAAGGTTGTTAGATTTCTTTACTGTATGTTTGTTTACGGTTTCCTGATTTTTGGTTATGTTTTGCTTTGATGTATTGTAGAAGGTGGGCTTGATGTGTTGCTCTGGTCGCTAGTCTGGCTGCACTGCAGCCCTTGCCTCCTGTCTCTGAGCGGGTAGGATAGTGACTGAGTGTGTGAGTATGTATTTCAGTTCATAGGTCTTGTGGGGCAGCTGAGGTCAGATTGCAGCTATTTTTTGTGCTGTATGTCTTCAGTACAATGGTGCAGGAGCAAGCAGTGACACTCTTCATATGGGTGGAGTGGCAGGCATGGTGGGTCTGGATGGCCTGTGGGGGTATGGTTGCTTCCTACCATCAGATGGGGTTGTGAGTGGTAGTGACACACAATTGCACTGCAGTCACCTCTCTCACAGTGGGGCTGTGCGAGTGGGTCCTCATTATGCTCATGGTCATTGTGTATACGTGTAGTTGTGCACTGCCTGGTAGAGGGAAAGGGGAGGGACAAGTGCATCTTGACAAGCATGGGGAGGAAGGAGGGAAGCTCTGCTAGACTGGCAGGTAGGAGGAGTGGGGTGAGCAGCCAGTGCTGCTGGCCTGGCTTGGTGGGTAGAAGGAGTGGGGTGATTGGCTGACACTGTACTGGAGTGGTCTGTCTCAACTTGACTGGCTGGTACTGTACCTCGGCTGTATACCACTCACTGCTAGGCTGCTTTGTGTGTGAGGCAAGTGACCTGCTGCTGCTGGAGGAAGGTTAGGGTAAGTGGGAGGGTGGCAGTTGAGCCTGGGTAGGAAGAGAAGGGGGAATTGTAATTTGGTTCCTGGAGGTTGGGCTACAGGGATAAGAGAGATTGTCCCACTAATCATCAGAGTGTGGAAGGGGGAACGTGCTTTTCTGGTCACCCAATTAGGGTTCTTGGGATCTTCTGTTGGCTGCTGTTGGCAATTGGAACTTTATCTCCTTCTGGGTATGGCTACATAGTTGCTCTTTGTCCTGTTGGGAATTCTATGAAGTTGCATTCTGTGCTCCTTCCTTGAAATTGCTGCTCTGTTTGTCTCAAGATGTCCATGCTGTGCCATGCTGGCTGGCTGGACCCCTCTGCTCTTTTTCTTCTCTTTCACTGTTTTTAGTCAGATTATTCTTTCAATCGGTGTTCAGCCTAGTTCTCTATCCTTTCATTTGATGCTCAGGGTTCCAGGATTGCCTTCAGTATGTTTCTCAAGTCTTCGCCTTAGAGGAGGGATGGTGTGGAGTGTCTGACTAAGCCGTCTTTTGGCTAGGAGTCCCGTTCATAAATTGAGATGTTTTCATTATAATTCTCAGATAACATGATGGTGAGGAGTTACAATGACAAGAACGGTGGATTTTGGAGTCCTAGTGTGACACTAAGTGTATGTACCCTAACATCTGGATCCTCATGCTCTCAATACTTACCTCTCAGCAGCGTAGGACTATTGAGAGGTCCTTCAAAAATGATATATTTTATTGTACCTGAAATGCCAGTTTTTCATAGCTTATGGAGAAGTTATTCTTTATGTTGAAGTTCTTTCTATGTTGGTCTTCTTTTCCTTTTCTTTTCTTTCTCTTCCTCAACTTGAGACAGAATGATATATTTCTGTGTTGCTTATGCCACTTTGTGTACTGATCTATTATTTGTTTACTAAATATATCTCCTTTATTTGAGCCCTTAAGTGTTCGAATTATCTTACTCATCATTGGCTTCTGACTTTAGCATGGGGTCTGGCCTAACATTGCAGGCATTAAGTAAATCTTTGAGTGAGATTTCTTTAATAATTTAATCTATTTGAAATTACTTGTAATTAAAATTGAAAGTCAGTATAAGCATTTATCAGGAATTAAAATAGCATTAAAAATAAAATTTGGTGTTTTTTGCCAAACCATACAGCCTCGGAAACCCTGTACACAGTCGCTGTGAGTCGGAACTGACTCCACAGCACATAAAAACAACAACTAACCCATCAGCCACTCGGAGGGAGACAGATGAGGCTTTCTGCTTTCATAAAGTTTTATAGCCTTGGAAATAAGGTCGCTATGAGTCGGAATCTACTTGATGGCAGTGGGCTTTTTATGTGTACTAACGTCATACGGAGATTAAAAAAAACGCTATTTTAATTTTGGCAAAACTCACCCCACTACAAATTTATATTTGAATTCTCAAATTGAAGGGAATGCCAAAACTCAAATTATAAGGCATATCTGCCGAAACAAGCTCACAAACTCCCACTAACTGTCACATGGTTTCTATCTTAAGGCATGTTTTGGCTGAAGTTTATTCAAAACAGCTTTGGGTTTAAATTAAACCTAGAAAATTTGTACAAAGCTTTATTTAGCATAGCTCTAGTGATGCAACTATATTTGAAGATATTCTCATTGTTCATAAGGTGACAGCCTTTTATTTAAAAAAAAAAAAGAAAAATTAATATATAAACCTCATAAAGTTCATGGAAAAATGGAGTGAAAAGATAATGGATTTTTTCCACAAATATTTTGAAGTCTCCTCTTATACCTGTTTATAACCTAATTTAGATGGTATCATAATGAGAGAGTTTAAGAAATAATTGCTTATACAACTTTGTGTGGTTAGTTCAAAATATTAAGATTATTTAATACCCTGTTTTCTTTTTTGCATACATTTATGTTATTCTAATATTATACTTGTAGACTTTTGCCAAAATAGCGACTCAAAAAGCATGAAACTTAAGACACAAAGATGTGTTGGTCTACATTTCTGGGTGGTAGAAGATCACACATTGAACTTGATTAAGTAAATCTGTCCCTACTTTTTTATTTGTAGTACTGCAAACATAGAATATGCACACCTCTACTTTTTCCATTGCAAACCAGTCTTGGACTATATCCAGCAATGTAGAAGAACACTAATGGAACAGCCATTGACTACCCTGAGCATTCATCGATTTATTAAGATAATGCAAGCACCTCTCTTGGTATGTGTCTTATATAAAAATATTAGCTAACTTGTACATAAAATTTATTAAATTTTGATTCACAGAAAAGAGTTTTACTTAGGTAAGCTGTATCTTTTCCCTTTTCTTTGGGCATATTTCTTTCACTTACAGGGGTTTATGGGTAGTTCTTTACTAAAGAATATAGACTATTCATAAAATATATTAACATCTTGAGCATTTTGTATTGAATTCTCAGTGTAGCAATGTACAAGTAGAATTTTTCTGTCGTAGCTAGAATGAATTCTCAGCTTTGGTGACCATTCTCCAACCACACAGTTCACATCATGGTTAAAAGATCTTTTCTGTGTATGCTTTGATATTATGCAAATGTTTTAAAAGTTGGTAAATATTGGAACTACAGGAATTTATGGTTCCCCACTTCTTAATGTTAGCCTGAAAGAATTTTTATTAAGGACTCACTATTTGATATGATCACCAGGCTTTTCTCTCTGAAACTTTGAAGGATTATCCAGTAGAACTTCTTACTCAGTACTTTTTAAAATAAGGATAATGACTGTGCATTACAATGCTAACAATGCAACAAAATATAAAGAAACAAGTAAAAAATAAGTCACCTTGTCTCTTCATTAAGAAATGAACAGCCATCATACCGGTCATCTCTGACAAATGTAGATATGTCTAGATAGAGGATGGATAGATGAACTTGGGCATATAATATTATATATGCTGTTTTATATGGAGCTCTGGTAATGTAGTGGTTATGAATTGGGCTGCTAACCTTATGATCAGCAGTTATAAACTCCCAGCACTTACGTGGGAGCTTTCTGTTCCCATAAAGATTTACAGCCTCGGAAACCCTAGGCAGGGTTGCTATAAGTCGGAACCGACTCCATGACACAAAACCACCACCATCATCATGCTGTTTTATAGTAAGAAGTATTGTATTTAATTTTATTTGAATTGAATAGAAGTAAAAGCTGTACAGGGTCGCTATGGGTCGGAACCGACTCTACGGCACTTAACAACAACAACAACAACAAAAGCTGATATGAAACTGGAGGGATTGCTGAATTTTCATAAGTGTACATTCATTATTAGAGGGCTCTTTAGCAAATATCTCCAAGTTGAAAATGACTATGTAAAATGTTGTGTTGTTGTTGTTGTACCGTGGAGTCACTTCCAACTCAGTGACCCTCTATAGGGTTTCTGAGGCTGTAAATCTTTACAGAAGCAGAAAGCCTCATCTTTCTTCCGTGGTAGTTTCAAACTGCTGACCTTGAGGTTAGCAGGCCGACTCACAACCACTATGCTACCAGAGTGTTAGGAAATAAAAATCATTATTGTTTTTACAAACTGTGTTTCTATATTGGTGGTTATGTGCCGTGGAGTTGGTTCTGACTCATAGTGACCTTGTACAGGCTGTAAATCTTTACAGGAGCAGAAAGCCTCATCTTTCTCCCACAGAAAAGCTGGTAGTTTTGAACTGCTGACCTTGCAGCTCGCAGCCCGATTCATAACCACGACGCTACCAGAGCTCCTTGTGTTTCTATATTGTTGTTAAGTGCCGTCGAGTCAATTCTGAACCATAGTGACTCGGTATAGGGTTTCCAAGGAGCAGCTGGTGAGCTTGAACTGCCAATCCTGCAGTTCAGATGGCTTTGCAGTCTGGTGCATTAACCCACAGCACCATACCAGGACTTCTGTGTTTCTATATTAAATAGCATCAAATTACTCCTGGTTTTGAAAGATGAGAAAGTTAATCTTTATACGTTAATATCAATTTTGGCTCCTCTTAGCTTCCTGTTGTTTTTCAGTTGTGTTATTATTTTTAGGTATCTTGGTGGCACAGTATTTAAGTGCTCAACTGTGACTGAAAGGTTGGCAGTTCAAAGCCACCAGCTGCCCTGAGGGAGAAAAACTTGGCAGTCTGCTCCAGTAAAGAATGGTGGCGGTGGTGGTAGTTATGTGTTATGGAGTCTGTTCTGACACATAGTGACCTGTATAGGGTTTCTGGGGCTGAAATCTTTATAGGAGCAGAAAGTCTCATCTTTCTCCTGGGAAGCAATTAATAGATTCATACTACTGACCTTCAGATTAGCAGCCCAGCTCGTAATCCGCTACCTACTGGGGATCCTTCCAGTAAAGATTACTGCCTAGGAAACCCTTGGGGGACTTCTCTGTTCTGTTCATCTAGGGTCACTATTAGTTGGAATTGACTCCCTGGACAACAATAACAAGAATGTTATTTTTACATTATTAATGGTTTTAACACTTACATTCTCTTCTGTAATCATAACTCCCACTTTTTAAAAGTCTTACTCCTACATTGAAATACTCGTAGATTCTAGCTTTCCAGCTGTCATTCCACCAACTTCCTTCCTGAGTTCTGTATTTTGAGTTTCTTACTGTTTGGTGGGATTTTGTCTTTTAAAGGTATTTTTTCCTTTACCTTTCTTTTGCACTTGGGTATTAGGGGATGTATCTTATTGCCCTTTGATTTTATTTGAGTTTCCCATATCAATATTGAACTCTAATATATACAGAGAGATGCCAGTCTACTTATACCTACAAGTCTTCTCTTTAGAGATTGGGGTAGGATTAAGAATTCTCAGGATTTTGCCTACTCATCAGTACCAGCTTTACCTTTGAATACAAGATTAAGAGTTGTACCAACTTTTCTAATGTCTTCTATTTCTTCTTTTGCTGCCACGGTTGTGGCTTAAAATTGGGCTAATTTCTTAAAGTTGTTGCTTATGAATTTTCTTTTGCCATTAAATTATATATATATATATATACATATATATATATATATATATAGAGAGAGAGAGAGAGAGACAGATAGATAGTGAAGAGTGAGAATCTCTGATCTTATTTTACTTTAGTGTATTTACTGGGAAATTCATAGATTTAATTTTGAAATTTAAAGTAAAACTTTGAATATTTCATAATGACTTGGGATTCAATTAGGTGTGGGATCACTTGAGGACATGGCTTAACAAAAATTCAAGAGTATATTTTAATTTGATTTTTTTAAATTGTGAATTGGGTAAAAGTTTACAGATCAAATTAGTTTTCCATTAAAAAATGAATACACATTGTGCTTTATGTCATTGGTTGCAATCCCCACAATGTAGCATCACTCATCCCACTTACTCCCTGTTTCCAGTTTCCATTCCTCCTTATTCCCTAACCATTTTTGCGTTTTGATCTTTGTCGTTGGGAAAACATTGCCATTTTGATCTCAAATGGTTGATTATTCGAAAGAGTGTGTTTGTGCCTCTCTAGTATTTCTGTTCACCTTATAGATCCAAACAATAGTGTCTGGATGGAAAATTCATCCATGGGGACGAATTTATTTCTAGCTCTGAAGGTGGCTCTGGGCCATAGTCTTGGGAGTTCTACTAGTCTCTTCTGACCAATAAGCCTGGTCTTTTTTTTTTTTTTTTTGAGTTTTGTCCCATATTATTCTTTTACTCATCTAGGACCTCTCATTAAGGTACTCTCTCCCTTTTTGTATTTTATTTGAATAGTGAGTTCTTTAAACTACCATGTGAATGATTCTCTGTGGAATTGTGTAATGCCAGTCACCCTGTGCTAAACCACTGTTCACCCAAAAGGAAAAGTAATTTGGCAGTGAAGTTCTCTTCTGAAGTAAGTTTGTTTCAACCCTCAAAAATGATGTGCAAGCACATCATTACCTAAGCATCTTTTTCTAGACAACTAGGTTTAAGGCACAGGCTACAGAAACCTGTATAGACACTAGGATTGGTAGGAGTGGTTATTACCATAGATTGAAGAATGATGTGAGAGGCAATGTTGAACCTCAGTACAGGCTTGGAAAACTGAGCTGAAAGTCCAAATAAACTTGGTTTCAGCATAGAACGTTTTGGTAGAGAGAGACAACGAAGCATAGATTATTGGACTTTCATTGATCTGAGTGGAGCAAATTAATACAAAGTATAGGAAAGAAAATGACTTAGAAAGATTCCTTGAGACTTTTGGTGAGATGGGTAAGCCTTCCTTTATTGGAAGTAGGATGATGTAAAAAGGTTCTGAGCTGGTTTGGTCATGTTTTCATTGTGATATTTTAAACATTTGGCTATAGCAGTATTTGAGGTTGCTTTACGTTCTTTTAGAATAGACTGCAGGTTAAAATTTACAATGTAAAGCAAGGGCCTTTTCAGGTCCTCGTGGTCAGTAGCTGTTAGTTAAGTATTGATACTTTTGTGACTGAGGCACACATGGGCATTTGTGGCTGATGGCTATGGTGGCAGTAGCCAGCCACTGAGAGCCCCTCAGATGTGTTCAGGGTGTCCCGTTGCTTTCCATGTCATCTTCTGTCTTCCCGCATTTTTCTGCATCCTCCCTTGCTCACTGTAGTCATATTGGGGGGACCAGAGGAGGTGAAATGGCTCACTAAAAGCATCTACCAGAACGTTATAGAACAGTTTATTATATTTTAATAAACCTAAGGTACAGAGTACAAAAAGACTGTTAGGATCATAGAAGAAAAACCTACAATGATGGTCAAGATGGTGAGATTGCTTATGGGTCCTCTGTTAACTGAGGGGCATACTCCCATTGAGATTTCTAGGACACACAAGAAATTCATTGACAGTCTTGGAAAACAAAAAAAATTCATACATGAACTTGAGAAGACAAGTGAAATGTATATTAATGCAACCCTAAAATGATACCAAACAGAACACAGTAATAATTTAGTTTTTTTTCCCTTAAATCTGAAGCTTAGCTGAAGAATATCCAGAAGGAAAAGTCAAGAAGGATTAAATGCACTAAAATATGAGAACACAGAAATTGAATGTGTGGAAACAATTACTTCTTGCTAAAATGAAATCCAGAAATTTATTACAGATGGTTTTTAAGAAGTTCTGCTTGAAGAGCTAAAGTAATTCTGATTTTTGGTTGACAAACTCAGCAGTTTTACACTTACAGCTTACAGAATTACTTAATTCCAAATTGCTTAAGGTATAAGGAAACCTGTGATGATGTCACCAAAT